TCTTGACGCTCACCCTCTCTTTCCTAACACTGACCTCGATCCAAGTGTGTCTGCAGAAGTCCCAGCTGCTGTCGTTGAAGGAGGTAAGGGAGAAGCTTCCCGAGAGATTTAGCGCACTGGCCGTGTAATAGAAGCCTGCAAATGCCTGTGAGCGGGACAGACAGAGACAGTGAGTTCTCCAAACGAGTGTGCTACGGAGCTTCCTGGGGAGGGAATAGTGAGAAGCAGGATAGAGGAAGGGAAAGGAGCAGGAGAGGCTCTCCCAGGGTGCAGAGCCCCTCTCCATCCCCCCATCCCCAACTGTTCTTACCACAAATGGCCCTTGAACCTTGGGCTGGTAAATGCCATCAAAGGAACAGGCATCTTGGTCTTGGCAAGCATTGAAATCAAACACAGAAGCCACCTTCTCCCTGCACAGCCGTGGGTCACCAGTTCCTGTGAAGGTGACGTTATCACTGGGGTTGTAGATCTCTGGTCTCTGCTTCTCTGTGCACAGGCTGCCAAACACATGGCCCAAGGTGAAGGTGGTACTATAACCTTGAGGGTAGCAGGGATTGCTGATGGTGGCTTCTGTGGAAGGGCTCTGGAGGTGCGACAGGGAGGTGTGAGATGGGACACTTTCCTTCTTAAAGATTCTCCCCACCACTACCCTGCGATGCCAAGAGAGAAGCTGAGAATCACCACTGCGCTGTGCGCTGCTGCCGGACAGAGAGCAAGGATCCTGAGAGGTTTGCACCCCACACAGCCCTGCCAAGAACGCTTCAGGTGACTTGGAATATACATGTACAAAACAGGCAGACAAATCAAACACTGACTGACAATGAAAATCATAAAAATTTATTTTAAAATAATTTGAAAGGGGTGAGGAAGATAGCTCAGTTAGTAAAGTGCTTGCGGCTCAGGCATGAGGACCTGTGTGTGTGTGTGTGTGTATATGAGCAGGTGAATGTGTGTGTATGTGTGTGTGTACACGAGCAGGTGAATGTGTGTGTAAGGCATGAGGACCTGTGTGTGTGTGTGTGTGTACGTGTGTGTACACAAGCAGGTGAATGTGTGTACACACCTGTGGAGGTCAGAGGCCAGTGTCAGGCGTTGTTCCTCATGCTTTTGTTTTGTTTGTTTGTTTGTTTTTTTGTTTGTTTGTTTTTTTCGAGACAGGGTTTCTCTGTGTAGCCCTGGCTGTCCTGGAACTCACTCTCAGCCTGTAGACCAGGCTGGCCTTGAACTCAGAAATCCACCTGCCTCTGCCTCCCAAGTGCTGGGATTAAAGGTGTGCGCCACCACCGCCTGGCCTGGCTTGCTTTTAAATCACTATGTAGACCAGGGCTGGCCTCACATTCATAGAGACTCTTCTTGCCTCTGTGTCTTGAATGCTGGGACCAAAAGTGTGTGTTACTCCACCTAGCCTTTTAAATATTTATTTTATTTCTGTGTATGTGTGTGCGTACGTGAGTGTGCACATGCACACATGCACATGCTCACAGAAGCCAGAAAAGAACATCAGATCCCCTGGAACTGGAGTTATAGATTGTTGTGATCCACTATGTGGATGCTGGGAACTGAACTCTTGTCTTCAGAAAGATCAACAAATCTTTCCTTCTTTCCTTTTTGATTTTTCGAGACAGGGTTTCTCTGTGTAGCACCAGCCATCCTGGAACTTGTAGACCAAGCTGGTCTCGAACTCACAGAGATATGCCTGCCTTCCAAGTGTTAGGACCAAAGGCATGTGTCACCAGGCCCAGCCACACAAGTTCTCTCACTGGTCTGGAATTGTCCAAGTAGGACAGACTGGCTGGGCAGCCCCAGGGATCTGCCTGCTTCCACCCCTGCACTTACATTACAGCAAGCATCACCATGCCCGGCCTTTTCTCATTATCTAGCCTTGGCTGGCTTGGAGTTCACTATGTATACCAGACTAGCCTCAAACTCACCTTTACCTCCTGCCTCTAGCTCATGAGTTCTGAGATTAAAGGTGTGTACCAATACACCCAGCCACGCCTGTCTAGGGACTCAAACCCACACCTTTAAGCTTAAACAGTAGGCATTTTGCCCACCAAGGGAAATCACCGCAGCTCCTTAGCTTTTCTTACTTCCATTTGCTGGAAGTGGTTAACACAACAGAGGAGGGAAGGGAGACAGGAGGCGAAGGCAAGAAGGAAACCCCAGAATTGCATGAGACTCTAGTGTTATTTCTATCCACTCAGCAGATTGGAGTGAGGATAGACACTCAATGCAGACCTCCTCCCTGCCTCAGACCCCCCCCCCCCCCTCCCATACCGCCCCCCCCCCCCCGCCCTGTACCTGCAGAAGCATGGCCAGAAACTTCTTCTCTGCTTCGTTCCGGCCGTAGCACTGGAAGCTGTGCGTGTAGAGAGTGTATGTGTAGCCGTACAAGGACACCTGAACCGTGTCGCTGGCGTTCGGCTCCATCTTCTCTTCTGCCACAAAGGATATCTGGGTGGAGGCGCCACCTAAATCCAGGGCTCCTGTGGTGTCTACTCCGTGCGGGTGCACCCACATGTGCCATAGGTTCTTCTGCATAGTGGGAAAAGGAAGTGAGAAGAGAAGCCAAAGACACCATTTCTGCTTGCTGGGGCTCTCCACCCAAGATCCAGCTGCTACTGCTAGGCAGGGGGACATGGATACACCCAGGGCTGCTTCTGCTAGG